TAGCATGATCCTTATATTAATAGCAAGATCTTGTTTTAGAATTTTATTTTCAATATGTACTTGAATTAATTGCAATATCATAATAGTTCATTTTTGCTGAAATCTAATTATACTTATTTTGCAGAAAATTGCAAATAAAATGAGCGAATCAGAAGCAAACACACCCTTCATTCCAGCCTCATCTTTACGAAAGCTTCCAGATTTCAAAAAATCTGTGAAATTGAAATATGTGAAGCTTGGATACCATTACCTTATAACCCATGGAATGTATCTATTTTTATCCCCATTGGTTGTGGTTACTGCAGCCCAGTTGTCCACGTTTTCGCTTCATGACCTTTATGATCTTTGGGACCATCTCAGATTCAATCTGATATCTGTAATCGTATGCTCGACCCTCTTGGTCTTTTTATCAACTGTCTATTTCCTCACTCGCCCTCAGCCAGTGTATCTAGTGAATTTCTCGTGTTATAAGCCCGATGATGATAGGAAATGCACTAGGCAGATTTTCATGGAAAGATCGCGGTTGACTGGTTCATTTACTGATGAAAATCTTGAGTTTCAGAGGAAAATTCTCGAAAGGTCAGGCCTTGGTGAGTCAACTTATCTCCCTGAGGCTGTACTTAGGACACCACCAAATCCATGTATGGCTGAAGCAAGAAAAGAAGCTGAAGCTGTAATGTTTGGTGCCATTGATGAGCTGCTTGTTAAAACCTCTCTAAAGCCTAAGGACATTGGGATTTTGATTGTGAATTGCAGCTTGTTTAATCCGACACCTTCTTTGTCTGCCATGGTTATTAACCATTACAAACTCCGGGGAAACATAATTAGTTACAATCTAGGCGGGATGGGTTGCAGTGCTGGTTTGATATCTATTGATCTTGCTAAAGATCTTTTACAGGTCCATCCAAACACTTGCGCTCTAGTAATCAGCATGGAGAATATTACACTAAATTGGTATTTCGGGAATGAGAGGTCAATGCTTGTTTCAAATTGTCTGTTCCGGATGGGGGGGGCTGCCATTTTGCTTTCAAACAAAAGATCTGACAGGTGGCGATCCAAGTACCGATTGGTCCATACTGTGAGAACCCACAAAGGTTCTGATGATAAATGCTTTTCTTGTGTCACTCAGATGGAGGATTCCAATGGCAAAGTTGGAGTTTCTCTGTCAAAGGAATTGATGGCAGTAGCTGGTGATGCTTTGAAAACGAATATCACTACATTGGGTCCCCTTGTGCTGCCCATGTCTGAACAATTGCTTTTCTTAGCCACGTTGGTCGGGAAGAAGCTGTTTAAAATGAAGCTGAAGCCTTACATTCCTGATTTCAAATTGGCTTTCGAGCATTTCTGCATACACGCTGGTGGAAGAGCCGTGTTGGATGAATTAGAGAAAAATTTGCAGCTATCTGATTGGCAGATGGAGCCTTCAAGGATGACTCTATACCGATTTGGCAACACCTCGAGCAGCTCACTTTGGTATGAATTAGCATATTCCGAAGCCAAAGGGAGGATTAGGAGGGGAGACAGGATGTGGCAGATAGCCTTTGGATCAGGATTCAAATGTAATAGTGCAGTGTGGAAAGCTTTGAGGACCATAAATCCGGCAAAGGAGAAGAGCCCATGGATCGATGAGATTCACCAATTCCCTGTGGAGGTCCCAAAGGTCTCAACTATATAATACTTCAAGCTGGAGTTTTCCTTTCCCTACTTGGTACTTGACTGAAAATGCATCTAGCATATTTGCATTTTGTTGATGACGTAAGGTACTTAAATGGTGTCCAGCTTTTGTTTTCTCTCGTCTTTGTAGACTCGGCCTAGTGTGCAGCATTCTTTGGATTGTAGGATGACCTAAGATGAATTTATTTTAGTGAGGTTAGTAGTCACTTCGTCTTCAAAACTTATGGAGGACTTATTTTGACACGGAATCAGATCAAAATCGTCTTATGTTCTCTTATTTGTTTATTCATGGCTTATGTTCGGGGCTAGATGCCTTCATGTATTGATTGATGTCAACTGAAGTTTCTAATTTATCCATCTTCACTCGAAACAGTTGTAGTGATGACCAAGTATTATTCGTATTTACTTTGGACTGCCTATTGATGTTGGATAAAATTTTAATCACCTGACGATGGCTTTCACTTGTGCTATTCTATTTTCGTAATTTCTTCTCAATTATTTCAATACAGAGTAGGCATTTACTGCATTGCAACTTATGTCCTTTTCTCCTCCTCTACTTTTAGGCTGTGTTTGATATGCTTAGTTTTCTAGGGGAGATTCCATTTTCCAACTTTATGGCTGATTGATAGCCAAGATTTTGCCAGCAATTTGTTTTCCATGTACCTCCTTCACGTGCCAAAGTTCTAGCTTTTTAAGGAAATTGTTTTCCTTTGGTTTTGGTGAGAATATGTTTTTCATCTTTTTTTTTTTTTTTTATTTTGGCAATTGGAAATTCTTTTAGACATAATGGTAAAAAAATTTATCATTTTTATTGACAATTTTCATGTAGAACAAAGCCAAACGAATTGTATTCGGTATGGTAAAATTATTTTTTTTTCCAGATTTTTTTTTTTAACTTTTTGGCAATTGGAACAAATTCTAGAGCCAATAGTACAAAAAATAATCACTTTAATGGACACTTTTCATGAAAAATAAAGTCAAACAGACACCAAACTTTCAACATTCTTCAAGTGAAAAATTATATCATTCAAACACAATTAATTACAATTCCCAACAAAACAATTTCTAGGCAATTCAATTCTCTGTAAAACATTTTCTTTCCACCCTTACAATCAACGGACCCTAAGTTTCTTTTGTTCTTTCCTAACATGTTGGATATTAAATATTTTTGTATTTCTTTCGTTTCATTTTTTATGGCGATCATATTTATTTGTACACGTGGAGATTCGAAACAAAGAAATAGTTAATCATCGAGTTTTTGCTATTTCAATCACGCCCTTCTGAGTTTTCTTAGCATTTTGGCTAAGAACAGTTGGATAGTACAGTGGACATTGTAGATGTTTATGTATGACGTCTCCTTTAAAATATGGATAATACTACATGTATCGAATTTTTTTACCGAATCTTTTACATACTATTCACAATGGGAATGTGTACCACATTGTCGAAATTTTTAAATACACGTGGACCCCGCACATTATGTGAGAGGGGGTAATCTACAAACTATTATGTACAAATGGATTAACTCAGTTGGCAAATGAAAGAATAATTTCTTTGCCCTTGTGCTAAGAATTGAAAATTTTGTAGTACTCATTGTTACTTTTTAATTGGCATGTGCATTAGATAATTAAGAATCACTATTGATTGAGATTTAGAAAAGAATAAATAATACACATGTCAATTAAATATTGACAGAGAGTATCGAGTTTTATAATTCAAGAGTATTAAAAATTTTCTCGCAAAGAACAATTTTTAGTGGTCTTGGTCTTGTAGCATGCTTAATAGAGTGGATTACACCGTGCCAGATGGTAAAAATGCCCAAGAAGTTACCACTACTTCTTAAATTCTTCCTTGATCATTAAGGAGACTCAAATTCAGATAAATTATCTCTTAAGGGAAGAGTTCACAAATCAGGTATTAACTTTAACAATTGCAAAAATCAGGTGTTAAGTTTCAAACTTGCAAAAATCAGGTATTTATTAATTAATTAAATATTTAATTGTAATATAATATAATTAACTCACCTCCACCACCACCACCACCCCCACTGCTTCGACGATCGACAACTACTCCGGTGACTGTTTCCCAATGGCACTTAATTCCAGCGACTATTTCGGTGACCGTTCTGCTGCCGCTTAATTCCGACGACTGCTCTGATTTCGACAATTGTTAATGTCACAATTATATGCAATTTGGTTATATATATCTAATTAATTAGTTAAAAATTAATTTTTGATCACAACTTATCAAATTATTGGTCACAAATATTTTATTGATCATAAATCAAAAATTTTATAAGTCACGGACTGTTTCTTGATCGCGAGTCAAAATTTTATAGGTCGCATATTATTCATCGGTCAAAAATCGAAAATTTTATAGGTCACAACTCATTTGTTCATTACAAATTCTAGATCACAATTTATCAAATTATTGGTCACAACTTCTTCTTTGGTCATAAATCAAGAATTTTATAGTCACAGGTTATTTCTCAACACAAATTGAATTTTTTTATAGGTCACAAATTGAAAAAAATCAAAACATTTATTGGTCACAACTCGATTACCGTGAGTTACGGTCACAATTTTTAGGACACATATTATTTATTTGTTAAAAATTAACCAATTATTAGTCACAGTCAACTAAATAATTGGTTACAGACATCCACCCCTTCTTATCTCATCCCACCCATGACCATCCCCACCGCCACATCTACAACATTACACATACACAACAAAAATCATAGTCACAAAATAACCATGACCACCAATAATCACAGTCACCCACACAAAATAATCACAGTCACCTTCGACCCCATCTCGCCGGCACGCCCGAGACCCACTGCCGCACGCATGCACAAAATAACCACGACCACCAATAATCACAGTCACCTCCAACCCTATCTCGTCGGAACGCCCACCGCCGCACCCAACACTCGACAACCTCATGGCAAATCCACCACCGCATCCTCCCAACACCTAACACCACAACCTCATTGCAAATCCAACACCGCAACCACTGTCAACCGCACGCACAAAATAACCACGACCACCACCGCCGCGTGGAGGCACAAAATAACCACCATCGCATCACCATCGCCCCAAAACTACTGGTCTGCACCGAGACCACAGTCCCCATCCACTAAACAAAAAAAATTAGGGAAGAGGAGGGGAGGCGCAAGAGAGAGGGTTCACCATCGACTGCAGTGGCGTCGAGCGACACTGATCTCAGAGTGCCACCAGTCATTTTGGATTATCGGCATCGAAGGTCATGGGAGTGGATGCCACCACGTCGGAGTTGAGGCATTGAAAACGGCTATAGGGTTCACCATCAGTTGCAGCAACGTCGATCTTGGAGTGCCACCTGTTAGGTGTTGTGAGTGGCCACCGTGATGAGTTTGACAGAGAGGAAAAGAATGGGGAAGAGGAGGGGAGGCGCGAGAGATAGGAGATTGGAGTAGACAGAGAAATTAGGTTATCAATTAGGGTTTTAATATAATAACTTATTTTTGAATAAATAAAGTTTAGATCTAATTTTTAAAAACCAATTTTTAAACACCTGGATTTATATAAGGGAAAAGTTCATGCCACAGGTGTTTAGTTTAACATTTTAAAAAATCAGGTGCTAAACTTTAAAATTGTAAAAATCATGTTTCTATTTTTTATTAATTAATTAAATATTTAATTGTATAATTTGATAGCGTATATCTTATTAATTAGTTAAAAATTAATTTCAGGTCACAGCTTATCAAATTAATTGATCTCGGATTATTTCGAGGTCACAGATGAACAAATTTATAGGTAACAATTAATTTCGTTGGTCACAAATTAAGAATTTTAAGGTCACAGGTAATTTTATACAGGTCACAGATTAAAAAAATTCAAAACTTTTACGGGTCACAGCTCTATTTCAGTGAGTCACAGTTCCAATTTCTAGGTCACGGACACCCACACAGGTCACAGATTGAAAAAAA